GTCATTCAGCTCACCAGTAATTTCAGCTGTAGCAATTATGCTCATTCCTACACCTTTTGAAAACCATTGTGAAAAGATCATGCTGCGGAAAAAACACTATGCATCCCTGAACACTTCCAGGGTATCAGAAACTCTCAGGCCCCCTGCTAGAACTTCTGCATCAATCTAAACCTACAACTTTGATGCAAACAGTGAGCTGCAGGGAAGCTACAAACAAAATTTTACAGCTAGTTAAGTAAACAATCACAACTTCCACTAAACACAACTGCATGTTTGTGCTAAGGTTTGCTGAGACATTTTGCTGGCACATGGAAAGATTGGAAGAGGAGGCAGATGGACGGTAAACCAAGGCAGTGAGCAGCCTCCAAGCAGGGCAGTCCACAAAAGGACACAGCCTGCCTTTGAAACAGTCATTCCCTCAGTTCCTGCAGATTAATGAGGCTCCAAAGTGATGCCAGCACAAGATGAGCATCATTTTACATTCTGCCCATGCCTGCAACATTTCACACTAAGAACTCTCTAATGTAGTGTTTCCACAGAAGACATGAGCTAGCAGCAAATAATAAATGTAATCCAAAAGAAGTATGTCTCAGAGACTCAAAATCTTAATTGCTGCAGTGGAAAGGTGGACAAAGGAAGCAAAACTCAAATGTGCATCCACTTGTTTCAAGAAACAGTCTTCCTGTGTTTATTTGCCAGCCTAATCCTTCAAGGGAGTGAGAAAATATCTGCTGATTTCCATCTCCTGGTACTAAGGTTTGTGCAATAACCCACCCACAAGTCGTCCTATGAATCACTGCTCCTTTCAGTTACTTTAATACAATAAAACCAGAAGATGCATGCACAAAAACAATACAGCATGTACTAGCCCCCATTTTATATTTTCTGCTGATTCTTTTAGTACAGACTTCATTTTCTGAAAACCAACTGAACTATTTCTTAGATTTTTCAGAAATTTGTTGAGACATCTGCACTCATAATTTTACCTGGCTACAGCACAAGAGCAACACTCTAAATCACTGCAAATTTAACAGATAGGTCTCTCTGACTAAGCTAACAAAACCTGTTTGGAGGACAGAAATCCCAAAGAAACAGCTGCCTTCTGGAGGAAAAGCATCTTGGACAATTACAGTTCTAAACTAATTTTTTCATTAGCTAAAGTAACTTTAATTCGTATATAAACATCTTCATATTCTTCCAACCCCAGACAAGCTCTCTGTTTGTTTTAATCATAGTATGTCCCCATTGATTGTACAGTAAAGCAAGGTCTGAAACTGCTCTTAAGCTACAGAAGAGCTGTTAGAATTTGTGGAAGAGCAACAGGATCTCACTTCTGTGTAGGAATAGGAGAAAGAGAGCATACACATGAGTGGAAGAGCAGGGGGAAAAAAATAAAAATAAAAGAGTGCTGCAGCCAGCCAACCAGAGGAAGCTAAAGAACACTTGGGTCTGGTCAATTTTGAGCCTAAAATGATTTCCTTGTGGTTCTCCACCCAGAAGGAATTTGACAGGGGCTGTGACAATTGACAGCACTGAAATCAGAGTAGCTTAGCTGAAATCAGTTGACCTGGGCTGACTGATACCACATGAGAGTCTACTTTATTGTTTTACAGAAAAATGATATTAGTCAAGGAAGGCATTCATTAGAATTACTCTGGATTTACAGTGTGAAGTAAGAAACTAGCCCCACAACTCCCCTGGCTACTGTAGAGCTTTCCAAACACTTCTAACAATAGTATAATACTTAATATAACTCTGAATAAAGAGATTCTACTTTCTAAACTGCAACACACTTTGGGAAATTGAATAAAAACCCAGAACTAATTCTTCTATTTCTACTGACTTTTCAAAACTATCAAATATGAACTGCTAACACATTTTGTGCTTGATCACCAAGATTGCCAGAACTTTTTTCCCTCGTTAAGAATGTAAAAATCTGACAAACATTCCAAAATTATGTTTTCTATCATTATAAAAAAAAATTCGTGTATTTGTCTACCTTAAATGCTTTTGTAAAGGAATATTTGGAAGATTGGCACCATGTATTTTGTTTTGAAATCAAGAATGAAAACACATATTTCTAGGGAGCTTTGACACATGTTTTTTTGATTTTGAGTAAACATTTTTTTGTGTTTAACAAGAGTTATTGGTTAATGTTACCTTTTAACCATTAAATCTTCATATAAATCACTCTGTTTAAGAGACAATGAAAAAGTACAAATTGAAGAGTGTATAAGCTCTGCATTTTGAGTGGAACAAGACCAGAAGCACAGAGAAATGTATTCTTTGCCACCAAATACAGGAAAACTTCGCCTGTGTAACAGAGTACCAGCACTTATGCAGTCTGGCTTAAGTGGATACTCACGTCCAGTCTGCAAACTGTGAGTCTTGGCACTTGATGAGTAAACATTAAATCCAGTATTTGTCTGTTTAGTATTCACTACTGGGAAGAACTATAATCGAACGTGACAACCCTTTACAATAATGAGGTCCGTCCTGTAAATGTTTCCTTGTCATGACTCTCATTTCTGCATTGTGTAATGTGCTACAAAGATCTCCCTGACTGCCTCATGTACATGTGCAGTTATGTTAACATTTCACTAAGAATTGCCTTATTCTACTTTTTATGGCAGACAAAAGTCTCTTGTGGTGTATTCTTCAGAGGATTTTTGGGGGTAGGAGAGGCAAGCTCTGGACAGCTGGGAATTTTAGAGTTGACATTACATTGGCATTTTTCATCTACCTTCGTTGGCAAATTGTATCATGTACAGCATGTTAAACATGCTGGAATGTTTTGTCTCCTTTCGCTTATAAACATGTTGCGTGAATATCTGTAGGAAGATGAAACTGCTCTTCCTTACCTTTCATCAAATTTTTACTCATAATCTAATCTAAGTCTAAAAATAACCATAAGGGTTTTCCCAAGGAAATCAAAAGTAAAAGAAAAGAAGTCAAAATGAAACCACCATCTACTTTCAACAATTTTGCTTATAAACCTGCAATCCTAAAAATATTGGCATAAGACACTCATGTCAGTAAGACAATTTAAAAGTTCTCTTCAAGAGAAATGCACAAAGCTCTCCCTGGTTTTTGAACACTCTTCCTTAGATCAGCTCACAGATGATGATGGACAAGAGCTTCTGAAAGACATTATCTTCTCAAGAGTGAGCATGGACCCACAGCACCATAAATGTGCATGGAAGACATGATACACTGAATTTGTGGAAACGTGCTATATGCATCTGCAAAACTAATGATTAAATTCATATATATAACTGATGGAACTACAGGAAAAGAATGACCTTAGCTTTTGCTGCACAAAGGTAGCTGTATGAAAAGAACTACACATGTGAACTATGTTTCAATTCCTGAAGAAAACTCTAAACAAGCTTACACAGAGTGGGAACGCCCACAATAGCCGTTCCACAAAATTCCAAATAAGAGAGCCAAGGTCTCTACTTCATTTTGCTTATCATGATATGAAGACTACAAACTCTGTGCACTTATGATTAAAGCACTGCCTCATTTTTTCATTTCATCCAAGTTTCTTCATCATAGAAATGTGAATGACTCATACTTCAGTCAGTTCAATTTTATCTCAATTACAATTCCACGAATAAATTCAGAGATACTCATTCTGTTATCTCCACGGTTCAGCCAAAGAGGAAACAGTTTTCAAGGAATATTCTTGAATGCATTCATTTCATTGGTGAAATCCATACAGCAGCCTACCCTGATTTACATTAATTGGAAGTACCCCATATTTGACGTTCAGTTCAGATCAGCATAAGATGCTAAAGACTTCTGGTCTCATAGCTTCCTTCTTCAGCTGGAAGGAAACATTCTTCACTTAGAAGACAAAAATAAACTCCTCTGAGCACCAAACATTCATGCAAAAATCACCTAAGACCAAGATAATGATTAGTGGAAGAACACTATGAATCCTTAACCCCTAACTGCTGTAAGAAACATTCCATTCTTCATTTAGAAGGATTCGTTATTCATATCCATCCCACAGACATGATCATATAGACTTGGGATGATGGAGCAATAAAAGCAAAAAGACTAGCAAACCACTGAGGTAATACAGTTTACAAAAGAGTTCTCCTCAAGCCTTTGCCACTGAAATTAAACGGGGTGGGGGTGATGGAATCTACTTTTCCTCTATGTAAGAGGGAGCACAAGCAAGACAATAGTTAATAGCCCATTACTACCATCCCAATCTTACTGAAACAATTTACGTTCCGAATACTTGCATTTACATATAGAACAGTTTAAGGTTTTCTATTAGCCAAAAGAAATTCTAGGGTAAAATCATGCCATGCCATTCTTCACTTAGTGTCATGGTATATTTTTAGCCAGAATTACAACTGAATAGAAAAATTGCTACTTTTGGCTACCTTTTCCAACGACCTTTACCCTGAAAAACTGTCTTCCCAAAAGGGTGTGAACTAAAGTAATGACTGTTGATAGAAAAACTCGGTGTAGCTAGCACTCACTTTAATTGAAGGTGTCAGAAGACGCCTTGTACAATAATTCACATCCTGTATTCTTCTGAAGTTACATAGTTCATACACTGTATCACTCTACAATATTACATTATATTCTTATGGAAACTTCTTTTAAACATCTTGGCCATATTCTTACCAAAGAGAAATCCACTGCATGAAAAAAGAATCATAAACTTTTGTTGAGCTTCATATTCTGAATTAAGAATATTAACGCAATTTGATATTGAACTGGCAGTGAGATTAAAAAGGAAAAAGATTTAAAAGTTTGATCTACGAATGAGATGGAAATATTGTACTTAAACTATTTTGCTAGAAGCATAGAGAAATCTAATACAGTATTTTTGCCATTTGAGATGTATTTTGCATTTTAGCTAGTTACAGCTATCCATCACCGATGCTGTTCTTACCTTTAGCTTCACATCTCTATTTATGTAACACTTATTTTATTAAGTGGTTTATACGCACGGTCTCTTACATTTATTTACTTACCAACAGTATCACATGGTTCGTCTTTATGTACACAGAAATCCTTCCTAGAGTTGAGGGGAAAAAGAACAACGTTAAGCAAGCCAAGCTGTTAGACTGGTAACGACTGTGTGACCTATTTACAAATATTTCGTATGGCTCAATGAATAAACACAGAACACCATTATCTCAACAAAGAACATGAGGAAGCAAAGGCCAGGATTACCCAGAACACTTGCACTTCAGTTTATTCTCACAACAGATTTAGGAGTAATCAGGTGGCAAAACATATAGCACATATTTAAATTACACTGTACCTAATTGCTGGGTTTTTTTCCCGAAGTAAGCATCTTGAAATGTAACAACTTTAAACTTAGTTTTTCTTTCATTTGAAATGAAAATATCTTCAGTGCTTAATATCACGTCCAAAACAGCATTGTAATCCAGCCTTTAGATCAGAGATTGAGTCAGAAAATTTTTGTGCTAAAAAGCCAATGGTTAAAATGACAAATAGGAATACATTCTGGAGAAGCATTTCTGCTAGGGCATCCTATTCTAGCAGTGAAAGACTTACAAATTAACTCACTGGGAGAAGACTATCCTATCTCCAACACAGACTTCAGTCCAGCCTTACCTCTATAAGTAAGACTGCTCAATTGCATGAACTGGAATAAATATTTCAACTCTGCATTAAACAACACTTGCTTGGGATTCATTTGAATTTCATACCTATTGTACCTGTTCTCAGAGACACGTAACAAAGTTATCAAAAGACCAAACAAAGGAAAAGCTGCTTTTTACTGGAGTGTTTATAACTCACGCTGATTTTTTATTTTAAGTAAAAATAGGGCTGCTAAGGTGAACTGTGGAGAGGTGGAGGAGGGAACCAGCGAGGAAAAAACAACAAAAAACCCCACCACATATAGCATCTAAGCAAAATACAACCTAATTACCTGAACTTCATTCCGACATGTGCTCAAATAAAGAAGATTCTGTTCTGTAGCTACACTACAGAGTAATGGTCTCTTGTTAGAGAGGGACCACACAGGCCAGAGAGATTTTATTTTTATATTCTGTCTATGAAGCTACATAGATATACACACAGATTGATAATGATAAAGATACATACATATATCTACACTCATTTTCCAGGATCAAAATGCAAGAATTGTTTGGTGCTTGAGATGAGAGAGTAGGCTAGTGATTCTTTGCATTTCCACAGGCGTAACTACTCCAAGAGCTTTTTGCTTGTTTGTTTGATTGTTTCCCACAGAGTGATTTAGACCCAAAAGCAGTTTCAAGAGGCCGGCAAATTTCTGACACTTGTTAAAGGCCACACAACCAGAGTCATGGAGTTATACAGCTTTTGATTTTCCAGTCACCATTGCCAGATAATTACAGAGTAGAAAAGCAAAAAAACAGTGCTAGAAACAAATCTTGTGAATAAACTGATAAAGAAAGTCTGGGAATCCACTTAGAAGAGCCCTGGAAATAGAGCCAAAGGTGGTGAACAAGAAATTATAATAATAAACAGAAGGAAGTTCTTTTATTTTTTCAAACCTGCAACAAATTACATCAATGCACTGGGTTGTAACACAATTCTTTGTTTTGTGCTATGTGACACAAGGGACTTATTGTCTTGTTAAGTAACATGACAGAATGATTAGAAATATGGGACTTGTGGTGAAGCAAGAGAGTATGTGTAAAGACAACCTAAGGACATAGATTGTCTTCCACACACACTCCTACAACTGCCATAAATATTAACTGATGTAACAAGTTAAAAAAAAAGAAAGCATATCTTCAAATGTACAGGAATACCATGTGACATTTTTAAACCACCAATATCCAAGAGGTTTCTGCTTATGCAATAGCTTTGTTCTTGTACACTTACTGAGCTGTTTTTGTTTTGTTTTTCCTTCTTGGTTGACTCTGACTACGGTTATGCTACGCAACCAGAGTTTCATTATGGGACTTGGGGGAAATGGTTGGGGGCTATGATTTGGCAAGAGGGAAGTACAATAAACCATTCTTAGTTCCTGAATTACATTGAAAGAATGTAATACCTCCTTTAATTTCCAAGAGCATGAATACATTACATATATTTGAGGCTCCTAAGCAAAGATTTACGTATATAGCAAGACCTACCAACGACTCTCATAGAAATCGTTCTCTAATTCGCACATGGTAACTTAAATATTCCATCATATTATAATATATATATATATATGGAATTGGCATATCGAAACTACACAAGACAACAGAGGATACGGACTCTTCCAAGTAAGAGGATGTACAAAACAGAGCAATAAAGCACACTACAAAGCCCTCAGGAAAGCCACTAAGATTATTTGCCTTTGTTGTTTTCTGCCTTTCTCTTAGAAAAACAGGACTAAGATATTAGAATTACCTTTAATGCATTTACAAGCTTTTGTGACACAAGTTAGTAACTGAGTCTAATACTGAACGCAAGAAACTGGTTAAAGCACACTGAAGTCCCCCTCTAACCAGTATCCAGCACAAAGCATCCATTACTCGAACTGTTTACTTTGCATGCAAATGGAAGGTAAAACAGGTCCCTTATTCAAGTGAGAAAAAAGAGGAGCTCTCATGAGATTTAGGACTGATTTGTCCAGCTTGAATGAGCTGGCTAACCCTAGAAAATAATTCGAAGCAAGAATGGGTAACCACTAATATATTGTTTCAGAAAAATGCATTTAGTGCAGTTTTAATCAACTATATATAGCATTATGAAGGGCCTTCACAGCCAATAAAGACTAACTATCCAATTTCCAAATATAAACTATCTCATTACATTATCTTTGTTAAATAAATGCTGATGTGTAGACGGGTTGTACAACAGAAGACATCAAGAACAGCAGAAGAAGACTAAAGAAGAGTCCAGACTTGTTCTTTTTGAATAGTTCGCACTAATTTTTCATTTTAGACAAATTTAACACTTGTTTTAGGCGTAGTAGTCAAAAGACTTATTTCTGTTCAAGCCGGTGTCCTGGTTTTGGCTGGGATAGAGTTAATTTTCTTTCTGGTAGCTGTAATGATGTGTTTTGGATTTGGGATGAAAATAATGTTGATAAACTACTGATGTTTGTTGCTGTTGCCAAGGACTTTTCAGCTTCAGCCAGATGGCCTGGCCTACCAGGTGCACGGGAAGCTGGGAGGGGACACAGCTAGGGCAGCTGACCCAAACTGGCCAAAGAGATGTTCTATTCCATATGATGTCATGCTCAGCATATAAGCTGGGAGGAGTTGGCTGGGGGACAGTGATCACTGCTCGCAGACGGGCTAGGTATCGTTCATCAGGTGGTGAGCAATTGCATTTGAGCATCACTTGTTTTGTACATATTATTGCTACTACTGTTCTTATTATCATAATTATTATTATATCTTCCTTTATTTTCCTATTACACTGTCTGTACCTAAACCCATGAGTTTTTACTTTTTCCCATTCACCTCCCCATCCCATGGTGTGGGGAGGGAAGGGTGAGCGAGCGGCTGGCTGGTGCTTAGTTGCTGGCTGAGGTTAAACCACAACAGCCAGTTTACCATTTCCTTCCATTTGCTAGATTGGAGAAAAGAAGAAAGAGAAAAGGACAGATAATGGATTTTACTCATCTACCAAATCTTCATTCTGGCTTTTAACTTCTTTAACCTTCATATTTTGAAAAAAGTAATGTAGGCTTGAAACAGCAGTCTAA